TATATATATATATATATATATATACCCATTTTCTACACAGACTGGACACGAAGCTATCGGTACTTACATGGTTGAAAATTAAACGTGTTTTGACCCTAATTACTAGTGGAAGTTACTCAACATAGCCATGAATTCATTTCTGCCCTATACCTATGTTCAATTTTAATACTGGAAATATCCGAAAAGCAATCTTCACTTGCTTCACAGTGTTTCGTGCTGTCAATGTGTATTGTTACGGTGTGGACGACAAACAAATTTTCGAAAAGAATGCTGCTAGGTCAAGTGGCTGTTGTTCTGCTCGCCTATTGCGAAACCCTCGGCATACGGAAAAAGGTAGTAAAATAGTAACATCCAAATACCTTCACATGTACGAGTGATAAAAAAGGTGTAGAAAACCCAACTTTCCACCCGACCCAAGCAGACAGCTACTGTGCAGCTCAACGGCCACCAACTTACGTCAACTACATTGCTAGACGCCGTACTGTCCAAATGGCTGTATAGTTGTCTGAGCAGTTCGCGCAGACGTTTGTGAGCCTTCTTGTTTGGTTGGATTAGTACTGCTTGAAAATCGACCGGTAACCCATAACTGGAACAAAGAAAGAAGGAATAAGCTGGGGGTGTTCGAAAAGAAGATAGCGTTGGCATCTAAAATCGTGAAATATAGCGAGTTAGAACGGCTATATCAATGGGTTGCAACTAGCTCACTCATTCGTACGTTTTTTTCTTGCGTTTATCATATAAGAAGGCGGTTGTGAAAAGCAAGTAAAAGGATATAATGACAACATTGGGACGGCACTCGGGACGCCCATAACGGAGACCGCGCAACTATGGGTCCTATAACGAGAACTAACCTAGTCCGCCGCTGTGCGGCGACTACCTTTACTTGGTTATTCGACAACAACGATTGCACATTGGTCAGTTCGTCATGGGAACCACAACACCGATTATGTTCACCCAGTGACAGAACAAGGTACGAACACACTGAGAAATCAGTGCCATTGCACTAAGCCTGCTATAGTTTTAGGGGGCGAACCACTACCAATATCATATTCCATCGGGAAGACTAACGTGCGCTTTGTTACGCATTTGTTTGGAGACTATACGTAATTAGGGAGACGAGGTGCCTAACAAGGAGCAACATGACTGAGTCCAATTTACTAGGAGGGAGATACAAAAGCTTTGCCATGTTAAGGAAACGCGCTATGTGGAGAGCCGGACGTCGAATACCTCAATCGAACAGATAATTCAAAGTTCCATTCAACTTTGTGCTTGTTAAAGAGATTCGGAGTGAGCATCACAGAATTGGAAACGAAATTCCAGCATTTGGAAAAGGTTTGGAACCAATTGAGAAGTCATCGTTTCAGAAGAGTTTGATAAACAATCGGTAGTCTTTATTTGGGCAACGTTTCGCTTTTGACACAAAAGTTTCATCAGGCCAAGTGAACAGGTCACCAAATTGGCCAGGTTATAAGACAGACGGAGAACCAATCAGTAAGTCCTCTTCACACTAGATCAGTGTTGAGTGTCAATTAACAGCTCTTGTCGATTGTTTATCAAACTCTTCTGAAACGGAATTCCAGCATCTTTTCCGCTAATTGTTTGAAACTAGCCTGGCTCTGAAAAAATCACATCACCTTTTGGGTACCCCTCCCAAATGCCCTTCTAGTCGGTAAAAACCACCCAATTTTCCGGAACAGTCCATCAGAGCATCGTTCTTCCGGTAAGAACCAACTGCTTCTGTTCACACCAATTAGGGTCGCAAGCATGCTACCAGTGCAGTGGTACAGGGAATCGCTTTACAACCTCCCTCAAAGGATTCAAAAACCAAGATAGGTGTAGCTATGGGGATCCCAGATTTGAAAAGGAATAAAGGCAGGAATGGGCCTGCGTATGATGAAAAAAACTTTCAGTATACATACATTGACACTAACGGTCGTAACAACTATTATCTGACTGACGAAGTGTTCGGCGAGATGGTCAGAGCGCGAGTTTACTGACCGGAAAGTCCACGGTTCGAACCCGACCTCTACCTCTCAATTTCCCATGTCTAGGCTTGGGCAACTTGGCAGTATCCCAGCCCTCGTGCTTCCTTTGGTCGGTTAGGGCTGAACGAAGCGTTCGGTGGAATCCCATGCCGAACCTGCCTTACGGATCACAACTAGGCGCTGCAACGACCAGTAAGCCTAACTGATAAATGACTGGTCGGAAGATCGGGCAGCTCGTCTGTCCAGCATTAAGTTTACCTCTGACTGGTCGGAGACGTTAGCCCAATACCCGATCATGGCTGAATATCCACTGGATACTGGTAGTCAATGGCGCGTCCGGAAAGATCACAAACTTCAAGAATTTACATGTTACACTTTAAATACGATACTGTACATGGGTTTCTAATCTTTGTGAACCCTTGATGGCTTTCGGAAGGATCAGACCGGAGAAAGATCTGAGGCCGTTATCACACGCAGCGTCATTATCACTGTCGACAGTAATACACTAGTAGTAAAGACGGGTACCCAACTGCCCCAAAAATGATACGGACTCCAGAATGTGCCTTCCAACCCAAAAGCCACGGAGGGAAATGTTTGTTACGTATCAGTCTGGCGAATAATAACCGTTCAGCCGTGGCACCCTTGTTATATAACCAGAAGGTCCCAAAAGCTAGGCTTGTGTGCGAACCATGTACTTTCTGGTCGGCAGATGTGCCTCTTAACCGCTGAGCTGTTTCTTGGACTGTCTGTAGTCATTTGGTCCGATCTGTGAACTCAGCAAGATCTCGCTTGGATATATTTAGCCTTGAATGTGTCGTTGAAGATACACGTCAAGGGATGATATCCTTCAGTAAGCTGAGACCCGAAAACGTATCTTCTGTGATCATCCCCGAAATGAATGTTAGTCAGTGCAATGGTTAACCACTGGAAGCAGCCCGTTCGACGAAAAGGACCAAGATTCTTGAGCATGTGTGCAGGGGATGAAAGCTGATAAAAGTAATTATCCCTTTTCAGTATATTTCTTACGCTCGCTACCACTCTTGTAGGTCCTGGATTAAAAATGCTTTTGACGGTGCCGTCCAATGCTTGCTGCTGCGGAGTTCCTCTCCGGTGACCATTACATCGTGGGACTTTTTTGAGATGAACTCAAAACCAATTCAGGAGACTTTTGGTTGAGCATTTTCCGTCGCTATTGAATCATGAGGATTTTTACTAAGGACTATTACTTCAATGTTTATTGTTTACTACCGAAGTGTTCCCGTTTCCTAATCATATTCAGTGAGATACAAAGGGACCCAACTGAACAGACCCCTGCGTTAAACTTGCGAACACACCATTTCTTCTAATACTTCAAACAGCCAAGATGTTAAGCCCTTCAAGTTAGATTCAATAGAATCAATATTTTGTCGCAACACCCAGTTGCTTAGTCCCGATAGCGCATGCCCCCCCAAGACCTCTTATGGAAATCCAATAGACTGTTTTATATTCTATGAGTTGTGGGCCGATACGTCCCGTTTAAACGTCTTCGAAAACCTCTGAAGCATGTGTCGTCGAAACTGAATTTACTGTATATTTGCTATTTTCCACATCTCGCCACCATCTGAGGAGACATAATGAATGAGCTGATAGTCTCTCCTCGAATGGTGACGAAACGTCCGCAAGTTAAGTATCAATTTCGGAGAGAAGATCAACAGCCAGCTGATCGACTACCAACGAATGCACTCGAGCTACCAATATTACAACATAGGCTAAATTAAGTAGCACGGTCCAGAGCCTTTGGTTGAACGAACGGGAGACGGGAACGGAAGCCCAGAGTTCGTCATTTACTAGAAGTAATTGACCAGACTGCAGTTCACACCCCATCTGGATTGTGGGTAACCTCTCAAATTGTCTGGCATACACTAGGACCATGTACACCAGTAAGTGCTTCAACAGCTCAGCCAGGTTCGTGGTCAAATGATGGCCAGATGAAGTTTTGCATGCAATTAGTGTAGCCTGTCAAGAAGTCCTTAAAAGCGTACACAAATGTTCCATTCCACCAGCGAGTGGTTGGCCGTGCGATGGAGCTTTTCCCACACTCCTAGCTTTACACCTCCTCGAAGTCGATAGCTTTAGTTCAGGGCCCATCACACCGACCTTAACAGGCTACTGTCGCTGGACATTTACAAATATTTAGAGGGAACACGCTAACTGAGACAGAACACACCGTACCTAGGTTGTATCGCCTTCACTTGTTCATAGCCGCCTGTTCGCAGCTGACCTCACAAAGAAGTCTTCCACTATCCACCACCCAGGGGTACACAGCTTTACCTCATTCCCATGGACCTGAATACAGAGAAGGAATCATGATGGGAAGAATAGATCACGCATCTCGTATTTTGAGTGGTTGAGAAACTTTGGATTTCCCGTCACGTATTTCTTTCCATCAGGCAGTTATCTTATGGAGAAGTAAAATTCACAGACTACATAAAAAATATGGGTAGCGTGTTCAGAAAGAACACATCCATACGAATCACACGGGCTCTCCTCTGGTAAGCCGTCATTCGAAGTCAGTCGAATAGGGTCACATGAACTGAATCTACGTGGTTTCTGGATGAGAAACACCGTGTTGTGTCTGGGTGCAAGCACTCCTGATTAATTACGCATAACTAAATGGTAATATTCAGGCAACTACTCGGAACGTTGCGGATTCAAAAATCCATTGAGGTTGGTGGGATGAGCGATGCGGAGAATTCCGAACGGGAATGAAATATCTACACAATACTTCTGGGGGTTCCAGCATAGACGGCCTCATGGGATGAAGTTGACAACTGAAAACTTCGAACAGGCTGCTTTTAACCTGGCGACTTCAGCTGAGCACACGAGTCGCTCCATAGATCACCAGGGGATCTCACTGGACAACACGTGTGTGTGAGCGGAATACGCTGGTGCAATTTTTACAACGAAATAAGAGAAACACGGAAAGTGATGCTCGACTGAATAGCTGACAGGTAGTGTATACTCCTGACAAGGTAGCTAGCGATTATGACTGAGAGCACAGAAGCTCCATGCAGTATTGCGATAAATTTTCCCTAGTTAATTTGAAGAACACCTTTTCCATGGAGAGATTAACCTTCGGAAAACGCTTTATTTTTATTTGGTCCCCCTGAAGTGGTCTGCCCAGAAGGCGGGTTTGGGTAACCAGGCTATCTTAGTCTACGGTGCAGGGTGGTGATAAGGTCAAGGACTTAAGGTTGAACGATCAGCAAACAACCTTCTGTGGGAACACTGATCGAATCATGCAGAAGACACATTTACATCCGCATGCCTCAATGAGTCAATCATTCGAATGCCTACTCCCGTAAAATCAGAAATTTGTGTGGACGCCGTTAAAAATGGAGGAATAACTCACCGAAGAACCGATTCTACAAACACCCTCAGAGCTTTGGTATGTACCATAGCCGAAAAAGCTTCGCCAAAATTAATTTTCAACCAGCGGAAAAGCGGTGCCTGTGAAGATGACAGATAAAAACTGAGGTTCCTGAGAGGGCGGATAAAACATACTGCTAAAATGAATAAACAAAGTCGAAGAAGAAAATTGACTTTAAGGAAAGCAGCCAAAGCTCATAGTTCTCAAGGATAAGCATTACGAATGTCACTTTTTCCTGAATACAAACATACGACACTCCTGGAATGCGAGAAACAAACGGGAGGCAAACATACTTTAACATTTTGGACATTCGCCCCGGACGTCCTACACACCGATTTGCCTTAAAAGCGAACGTCGTCAAGGCCAAACAAAATCATAAGCTCTTTACAGATTTTTGCTTTTGGGAGGATGGAACTGAGGCTCCCTGACAACGAAGTAACCCGGCGATTGATGAGTGCGTTAATGATCCGAAGATCTTTGGTTCGAGACCAACCAGGGTTTTTTGGATTGCTGTTGTCTATATTTGGGTAAGATGTCAGTAAATCAGGTATTTTGGCTTCGTGTCGAATAACAAACACGAATCTAAGGGTCATGGTTTGGCGATATTTGGAAGTGATGAGGAGGGAGAAAATGGGATCTAGGGTATGCAGTCAAATTTTGGTTGGGTTCGCTCCCACGCCGCACAACTGTTCTCCAGTGTGGGAAATAGCAGTCGAGAGAGTCGTATAACGCACAGACTGCCAAATTATGATCTCCTCAGCAACCCATAGTATGACAAAATTACTACTATAAATGGGGAGCACGGAGCCACGCATACACGACTTGTAGTTACCAGTCAGTGTCCTCTGGATATCAGATCAAACATGCATACCCAGTATCGACCAATGAACTACCGGTTTTACTCTCAACGTTCCCGAAAACTGAACACAGTTAATGTCCTCAGAATCCAAAATGTGCCCTCGAAATTGAAATGGCTGGCACCTGTTTCCACGTGCAGAGGTACTACGACTTTCCGGCAAGCTGACTGGCACTCCCCTCCTGCGAACCGAACAACTATCGGTGAAAACATCCAGCTGAAGTTTCAATGATCCAAAGAAACATAGCAAAGCATAATTGTCCACTTCAGGATTAGAGATGATGGGCTACCGCGGATCGTACATGCAACCCAAGTTCATTCGCATCAAACAGAAACGGTTTTTCCATGAGGGACAGCATCCTTCATCCAACTGCTCAGTTTAAAATGCTAAACCACTGTTCTTACGACTGATGCCATCAGCAGAAAACTAAAAACTGGGTGTGCCCAGTGAGAGAAGGTATACTGTAAAAATTCCGAAACACTACAAACCGTTTCAACACTTAGTCCACTCAGCACATTCGAGCAAAAACCATGTAAATATATCACGTGGATCAAGGTTTAGTCCAGAAACCTCATCAGACACATTCATTATAGATGTGCGCGACTCACAAACTGTCTTTTCTTATCCGACTCTAACTTGGACAACTCTGTTTTGCCTTCTTCTATCTTCTTTTCGTCGTATTCAAAGTCCCTGACGATAAATCTGTGAAAATAGACAGATCAACCAACGAACAAACCTGCGTTCTCGACAGCGATTTTTGAAATCCTCAATCATCTTCCTGAACAATGTAACGGTCCACAAACCATTATCCTGGTCTTCAAAAAGCAGCCTTAAAAATAAGCAGAGAGTGATGTACTGGACTTACTCTGATGAATTCGGAACAACCATGTCGGTTAGGGTAGCATAACTGGATTGCCACTCTTTATAAGAACTCCTGAAAATTTAGTCAAATCGCAGAAGGCAACAACCTTGGAACTACTACCACCAACGTTGCCAAGTATTCGGAACCAACAACGAACTGCTCACTCTTCACGATATCACCCAAGTCTCTGGTGAGCAAACTGCCACTACAGCAAATGAGACTGCTCAGAAACTAACTTACGTCTGCTTTCGCTCAAGATTTTGCAGATTCCCCTTTACGGCGTTGTAGGCAGTTGATTTCACTTTTAAATCAGCATCGATTTTAGAAAGTTGCTGAACCACAGTAAACTTGGTTACACTAGCTTACCTCCGATATGATAGCATAAAGAGAACTCAGTGTTTGCTTTACCGGGTATTTTGCATAATCCCATTGAAATTTGATTAGAAAGGTGGCTGGGTTCACTGGAAATTGAGTGAGCAACGAATTTACGGTACTCACATCCATTGATAGTAAGATTATCCTCTAGTTTATGCCTTTGCTCTTCGAGTACGTCACCCATATATTGGGCGACTTTCTTGGTGATACTACAAACGCGATACACATCAAAGTGCAAACCAACCTTTCAGCGTAGATGTCCAATTTCGCCAATTCATCAGACAATCCAACGAGTACATCCAGTGTGCCCACCTAGTGAATACAATAGAATACGATATGACGAACCTTTAGATCCGTGGGAATACTAAATTTCCACTGCGAAGAAAGACCAGGATACTTCGACAATGCGGCGTTCAATCGTTCGAAAACTTCATCCGGATTTCGCTCACCAGGTAAGGATATTATCCAAAATTCAGACATTAGATAGTGTATATTTTGCTCGAAGTGATCTTTTGTGCGTGTTCTACAACAATAAGTCGGGAAGTGAGATACGTACCAAAGAACTGACCACATCACATAGAATACTGTCAGGTTGCCCAAGCATAGACAAGGGAGGTCGAGAGGCAGAGGTCGGATTCAAACCCGACCAGTAAATTCACGCTCTAACCACCGACCAAATAAGGCACAAATTGAGTTCACAGGATGAATCAGCTTTAGGGGTGTCCCGCGCTGATGACACTCAATACTGATGAGCAAAACACAGTTCTGTATAGATCATGTAGACTGTGGTCCCTAATTATAGCGTTCACATGGCGAAGACGCTCTCAGCATGGAAGTATGATACTCCAAAATAAGTGACGTTGTTAGAACCAAGTGATGCCATTGGCGAAAACCATTCAATGGAAGCTGATGTGTGGGAAAGTGATTGGCCAATACCACGAAGATCAGACGACCTGGTACTGAACCTTGGGGCGCTCTGTCGATAAATCAAGGTAAACGAAACCGTCCATGGTCCATGTGCCTAAAGGGAGGAGGTTGGTCAAGAGCAATCTCATGTGTCTGAATCCGTGAGGGTCAAGGGAGAGTATTTGGTGCTGTTGAAGGAATGCTCGGAGGTGGTCTAAAAATCGTTCAGCTGTAGCGCCATTCAACCCAAAGGAAGCACGATAGCCGCGATACTGCCAGATTGCCCAGGCCTAGACAGGGGAAGTCGAGAGGCAGAGGTCGGGTTCGAACCACAGACCTTCAGGTCAGTAGATTCGCGCTCTAACCACCTGGGCCATCTCGCAGTCAGACCAAGAGCAGCAAGGTCCCTTTTAGACGGAATTCCGCACCGATACCTCTTTACCGCTTGCAGTTAGGCGCTGCCGACATCGATCAGCCACTATTCCATGCAATAATTCTAGCCAATCACAGGAGTGGTAACAGGAGTACCATCCTGGAAAGCGGAGTGCAGCAACAAGACCTAAACTCTTTGTAATTTTTTATAACCTTTTGCGAAGTCTTACGTTGTTCACCTCGTGGAGAGACAGATCCGTGAAAACCAAGCGGAGTTCCGTCCTGAATCGATCACATTCTCGCTCCCCGACAGATTCTGGAACAGTGACAGTACGTCCATCGGCTAATAATGGTTGTCGTCTTTGACTTTAGATCTGCCTTTGGCTCTGTGGACCTTCACACACTATGACAGCGTCCACGGGGCAAAACTGTTCAACAAAATTTTTGGCTTTCCCTAAACCACCGTAATCCCGACCTAAAGCTGCCACCTTGACGTGGTGGTCGGGCTTCAGTGCTGCAACGATCCTGCGGGCTACACTGGCTGGAACTTCGTTCCACAAGGTGCAACCATGCCAGGAAGGCCAAAGGGGAGCAGCCAGACCAAGAGCAGCGAGACCCCGTACTACGAGTAATCGTGCTACGAGGCGGTCTCTATTGTTCACTCGAGTAGAGTGAACCCTAATCCCAAACGACGAGAACATGAAACAGTCCCGACTGACCAAGCAAAAAGAACACCTTTCGAAACCAACAACCCGAGGCAGTTGAGCGTTAAAGGCGCGAACTTACTGGTCGGAAGGTCCGTAAACCGAACCCGACCCCAGTATCTCGGTCACTCCTGCCCAGGGTTGGACGACCTGGCCTCAGGCCTCAAGCATCCTTCTGGTGGTATGTGGATTATGCACCATGTGGATTTATGCACCAATTTACCAGCTCGCGCGTGCAATGCGCAGCTACTTACCCCCCAATCATCGGTGAACGAAACTGTGGCAGCTACAACCAGTGTACGACCAGTACGCGGTTATTACAGCTGATAATGATGATGATGATGAAACCACCGTAATCCAGCTCTCCAGGACGTGCGAAGGTACAAAGGATACCCTCGCCTGAGTTCACCAAGGCGGGGCTATCCTCTGTTACTTTTCCTCTTCAACTTTGCCACTGATGCAATTATGGAAGTCTCACTACCGGCCTCAAACGCTGTGGGGTCGAAATGTTCCCAGGGCATTCACTCACAGATATCAAGTACGGAGATGACATAGTTCTTTTTGCATCTGACGCCGTCGTACTGCAAGCAATATTAAATAATCTTAATAATTCTGCCGGTTTGAAATACCCTCCATACCTGCAAAGTGTTGCTGGAAGATTGGGTGTGCTCGAACCATAGCCTCATACGTGCTGCCAGAAAGGCCTTGCGAGCAGCTGCCGACTATGATGGCGCACGCAGATCACTCAAACACCGGATAATCAAGAGCTTGAAGAAGAACGCTAATGGATTGCAGAGAACAAGAAGAAGAAGGAGAGGAAGAAGAAAGGCAATAGCCCTATTTCAGCTGATTCGATAAACCGACCAAACCAAGTGTCAGTGAAACGATATGCAAAAACTACGGAGCGGCAATTCACTCACACAATGGGATGGGCACATCAAAGAACAGTTCAGCTGGTCACCTATCAGTACAACCGCTGGAAGAACCCAGCAAGCCAGAATGGAAAATCGGCACCAGCCCGTCATCAACAACAGAAATCCAACATGAGATATCAATCCTCGAAAGCAACAAGAAACCTTGTCCAGATGGTCTGTGCACTTTTCACATATGGCTAGGCCACGGTGAACAGTCTGACAAGCATACTCCAGAAGATTTGGAATGAAAACAGAATACCAGTCAAATGGAGCTTCTCAATCCCCATACCAGTTTCCTAAAAGGGTGCAATAACGTTATATAAAAACCATCGTGGCTCTCTAGCATTATTGTCGGGAGAGACAGATTGGCAAGAATCAAGCTGGGTCGAGGATGCATCGACCATACCTTTACCTTGAGACGAACTCTTGAACAGCGCCACTCATACCAAAGTTCTTCATTGGTTGTTTTCTTGATCTGAAAGCTACTTTCGACTCTGTCGATCGTCTGAAACTATGAAAGTGTCTGGCGATCAAACATAACCTTTCCAGATTTACATCCTTTGTGACAGCATTGTATGTGCGCGTGTGAGCGTACAGCAACCTTCCACATGAGTTCAAAACATCCAGTGGTGTAAGACAAGGCTGTCCTCTCTCATATTTCCTCTCAACTTTGTTACTGAAGCACTGCTTGAAACTCCTCTGCCTGATTCTGAAACCTTGGGAATCGAAATGCATCCAGGACGCTCGCTCACAGAAATTGGATACGCGGACGATAGTGCTCCCCTTGATTCACGTTCTTCAAAGATGCAAACCATTTTAAATGACCTAAATAAATCTGTCGTACCGTTCGACATGCGCTTCACACCTGCGAAGTGTAAAGCACCGCTACAAGATGGTGGGATCAAACCCAAACCACATGCTTGCAGATGAGGCGTCGTAGATAAATTCACTTACATGTGGAATTGTACAAGTTCCGGTGGACTGGTTGGAGATGGGACACCTTCTCCAATTGTGAAGGTCAGGGGCAACCTCCGACACCGACGTGACGTCAGTCAATCTGTCTAGGGCAGAGTTAACACTAAGATAGTGCGATCTATACTGATTTATAAGTCAGATACGTGACCTCTACGCCCAGGCGGGATACGAAATATGTCAATCTTTGACGATGGGCGTCTGCGAAGCATTGATCGGGTCTCGTCAGAACATCTGATTAGTAATGCTGAGGTACATTAAATGGTCCTAAGAACCAGAAACTCTCCCATGATAGATGAATTGCTCACGCTTCATAGGTTACGCTGGTCACGACACGTACTCCGCATGCCAGAAGGCCACTTGCCTTACAGAGATCTTTTCGCCCAACCCTGTGCTAAGTGGAAGCAACCGAGAGGTGGAGAGTGCATGACCTAGAAACGAAGTATGAAAACACTAACCAGTAAACTTGGTCAGGTCGACAACTACCACCTCCCTAGGTGAGGACCACGATGCTCAACTCGCCGATCGCAGAAGTGACTCAATCATGCATCGAAGCTATGGTCTTCAGTGCGTAGCTATCCTGTTCCCCAACCAACTAAACATACCATCTCTTCCAATGCTTTGCTGTATGTCCTACACTCTCCCACTTTTGGCGAACGAAACTGTAGCGTTTGGAACCAATGTGCCTATGGTACACGGTTTATAGCTAATAAATTGGATTGAAATGCGTGCGGAGGAGCCGATTGAGGTGATGGACAAATGTTTTCACCTGTGCAGCTGTATCGGTACCGGTGGCCTGGCTATAGATGATATTTCCATCCGGTTTGGGAAGGCCACAGCAGCTTTCGTGAATCTGCATCATCTGTGGCGTAGGTGTGACATCAGCTTATCCGCCAAGAGTCGAGCTTTCGATGCTGCTGCCAGAAAGATGGCCGATGCATGCCGAGAAAGTCGAAATACTTTAAGGATTTGAACAGTTTTTTCTTTGAAGCACCGCTTTAATCCGATGGAAACATTGGATCAGTAATGATGAATGACGGCGGATGGTTTTCGGAAGAACTAACTTACACACAGTGAGTGAACTGACCACACCCCATAGGTTACGCTAGCTTGGCCACGTGTTTCGTATGCAACTAGGCCCATTTCTGACAGGGCCACCGCAGTTGAGGGTGAATGTTCGCTGTTTTCAAATTACCGTTACGAGTTCGTTAACGCCATCCCATTCTAGCAACACTTCCGAGACATCTGAAGACGCCTCACATCATCCGTTCGCATAAGCCATAACCATACAACATCAGGACCCTTACTGTAGCCTGGCGCACACGACTCTTTATATACCTTTTGATGGTGATCAATTCATTCAATGCGGCTTGTGTTTCGCCTTCGTCTCCAAAGATGAGGACGACGCCGTTTGCATGCGCCAGATTAACAATAACGACGAGGTTAAACGCAAATGGAGAAAGCGGACATCCTTATCGGACATCACTTTTTAAGGGGTGTTTTCGGAGGGCTAATCACACTCTTAGGCACCCAGAAAAATGTGGAAATAGGAGACGGATTGTGTTTACGAACTTTTGAGGTATATCCTGTTGCGCAGTTATGGTTAACACCATTGACCGATCAATAGAACCAAACGCACCCTTGAATTCAAGGGAAACTCGAATTATGGGTCTTCTGTACATGCAGCGGTGCTCCAATATCCGAT